TGGGCTAGGAGCTGGGTTAGGGCTTGGGGGGGCAACGAGGATGGGATAAGGGTTGGGGTTGTGGGGAGGTCTGGATGGGGCCAAGGGCCTGGGGCTGACTGGCCCTCCTCCCCACCCAGGACCTCCTCCAGCAGAGTCTAGGCAAGGGGGGGAGCCCGTTTGGGGTGGGCCGGGGCCCCCCACTGGCATCTCTGTCGGCCCCACTCCCTGCTCGCTGGGCTGACCCCACCTCCCAGGATGGCGCCAAGGAGGGGGGACGCAAGGGAGCCCTGCCTGGCCCCCCCCAGCACCTGGAGCTGCCTGATGCCCCTGGATCAGAGGAGGTGAGTACTTCCTCTCTCCCACCCCCTTCCATGTAGCGTTCTACTCTGCTCTGCCCCAGAGCCAGCTAGCACCCCGTGGGGCATTATATACAACATCTGCTCGCCCCAAAGCAAGACACATCCGGGCTGAGATGACAGCATTCTGTGCGGCCGTGTCCTAGCCCCCTCATGCCAGAGCTGGGTGCATCCTACCCCATGTGCCTTGCTGTCCCCAGGGAGACCCACCAAGCTCCAGTCTGGAGGAGACTGATCCAGAGTCGGAACCGCCAGAGGCCGATGATGGGGACTTAGCGCTGGCCAATGGCAGGACACCCAGGTATGCAAGGTGGAGCCAGGGGATGGGGGGGGCAGCTCTGGGCCTGATCATCCTTATAACCTGCCCTCAGGACGAAGAGGACCCAAGCATCTAGGCGGTGGCGGCCACGCTCCTGCTCGCCGCCCAGCCCCCCTGGCCTTGACCTGGACTCTGAGGAGGATCTGCAGATTGATGAGGCCCCCCCTCGCCGTGAGCGCCAGGCCCTGGGGTTCCCCCAGCGGCTGCCCAGTAAGTATCCTCTCCTCCCCCTGCTGTTGCCCTGCGTTGCTCCTTATCCCTGACCTGCAGCATCCCCACATTGCCCTGTGGTGGCCCGTAGCCCCCACATTGCCCTGCAGTTCCCTTCACTCCTGACCCTCAGTCGTCCCCCCCTCCCATCACCCTGCAGTGCCCTTTACTCCTGACCCGCAGCTCCCTCCCCATGGTGCCCCTTCTGATTTCCAGGCCTGCCTTAGACTTTGGTGCCCTTCACTCCCAAACCACAGCCCTCTGTGGGTTTGTCTGGGCCCATCTGACCCCACCCTTTCTTCACAGAGTTCCCACGGAAATTGCCTCGTGCCAAGCCCTGCTCAGATCCCAACCGGGTGCGGGAGCCTGGCGAGGTAGAGTTTGACATTGAGGTGAGGATGCTGGGGAGGGGGGGGGGCGGGGCGGAGCGGAGCCAGGGTGGTAAGGTCACTTGGAGACCCCAATGTAACCAGCTCTGGGGGAGAACAGTTGAGTGTAATACCATGTGGAGGTTGCTTTGTGACCCCTGCTGACCATGGTTCTCCCTCCCCTCCCAGGAGGACTACACCACAGAGGAGGAAGAGGAGGGGACAGAGCTGGAGGATCCAGAGGGTGGAGCCAGTGCAGCTGGGCTCCTGGACCTGCTCAAGGCCAGCCGCCAGGTGGGCGGGGCTGACTATGATGCTCTCAGGTGAGTGGGGCAGGATCTGGGGCTCGTTGGGGGTGGGATTTCAGTATGGGGAGGTACAGGGGTCTCCCTGCTGGGGGTTTTTGGGTGTGCAGAGCACAGCTCTGGGGGCCCTGGATGTCTGGGACTTTTAGAGGAGTTCTCTGTTGAGGGCTATGGCAGGGCTTGTGGGAGTCTCTGGGGAGACTGGGAGGTACAGAGGGGCTGTGGGTGGTGTGGGGGTCCCAGTGGGGCTCGGGCAGTCCCTGGGAAAGGGTTGAGGGCATCCCTAGCAGGCGGGATGAGCAAGTCCTAGGGTGGCTTTTGGGGGCCTGGGAGGGGGCTTTGGGAGGCCCTCAGGGGTTGGTGGGGAGGGCGGTGGAGTTCTTTGGGGGGCTGGGAGCTCTGGGGTGCCCCTAGAGCTGTGGGTGGGTG